TCAGACGTGTGCTCTTCCGATCTTAAAGATAGACAGTAACTTTTATCAATTTTTAATTTAGGATTACAAAATGTTGTATTAGTGCGTATTAAATTTAGTACTGAGGATGAAAAAATTTTTGAGCAACTAAATACTCTTGAAGATATTAGAAAAGTGACTAATAATAATAGTAACTTGAAAAAAGCAATTAAAAATAGTATTAGCAATATTAAAGATCTTTTATATAAGTGAACTAAACATCTTGTTTTAAAAGAAAATTCATTTAAATGTTATAATTCTGTTTTAGATATGGATATAGATGAATTGTTTCAAGTTAAGTATTTAACTTTATTTATTTTTGTTATAGTAAACTTTTAATATATATATAGTAAAAAACATTTTATATAAAAATCTATTCGATAATAAATTTACTAAAAAACTTTAAATATAGCAAAAAAATATATAGCCAATAATTTTACTATAACAAAAATAACTTGTATACTTTTTTTAAAAAAATATTTACTTAAATTATTTTAAAATTTATAGGAAATAAAGTATATTAATGAAACTCTTCAAATTAATGAAACTACTTGGGCAAGTTTAAAAAACATGATAAATTAATAAAATTTTTGTAGACCTATTGTCAACAAAAAATATATTTATTTCAGGTTATTATTTTATTTATTTTATTTTTAAATCAATAATACAATAATATCTAATATTTTGTCTCTTAATATCAAAAAATGTTTACAACCAAGATGTAATTTTTGTAAGCCAATTAAAATGCTGATTGAAGAATTTAATTTATTAAAATTTTTACCTGATTCTATACCTTCAAATAATGGTTTGTTTAGATTTTTTTTAAAAAAATTGTAATAGTAATTAAATTAATTTAACTTTAGATTTAAATCACTATACATCCTTTAATTACTAAAATTGATAAAAGTTACTGTCTATCTTTATCCTTAAATCAAAAAGAACAAGAACGTGGCCCTAAGGAACTATATACACATAAAAAAATTCGTGGATGGGTAGAATGTACAGCTTGTGGAAAATGGCATTGTCTTTATGGCCAACATTTACTAAATGATGAAGAAGAATTACAATAGCAAACAGCTTTACAAACTAATCTATATACTTGTGGTAGATCTATTTTAACAGAAGATTATTTATTGTATAATACTCTTTTTGTTTGCGAATATATTTCTTGTAATTCACCAATTGAAACAAATTATTATGCCTGTGAACATGGTGATAAAATCCAACTTTGTTATTGGTATGGAACTGAAGATGACTTATCTGATATACTGAAGTCATTAACTGACCAATATAAAATAGTTTATCCATGTTGTAATACATGTAGAGAATTAGGAAAAAATTATTTTACTGTACTTGTATTGAGATCAAAGTTGGCAAAGATAGTAAAAGAAAAAGGCAGGAATCTTAAATTCTTAAACTTGTAATTTATAAATAATAGATAAAAATTTTTTTAAATAAATATGATATTTAAAATTTTTTTTTATTTTATATATACCCTACTTACCCTTCCCCCCTCTTTAAAACCTTCAATGTAATGTAAACCACCGAATTAAATTGGTCTGACCTAAGATATGGCTTAGGTAGATTATATAAAAGCTTCTTTTGTTTCAAAAAAATTTTTAAACTATGCAATAAATTTAACTATATTCAGTAAGATGAGAATGTTATCGTTGGTTTCTATTTAATTGAATTTTGATTATTGCGGTTTGCAAATTGATGTACTTTTTGATCAAATTTGTAGATCGCTGCATACCCATACAATCACCTGATTGTAGTCC